TGATTATATATATATATATATATATATATATATATATATATATATATATATATTATAGTACAATATATATATTATAGTACAATCTGCAATATATTATATATATATATATATATATATATATATATTATATATATATATATATATATATTATATATATATATATATATATATTATATATATATATATATATATATATATATTATATATATTATATTATATATATATATATATATATTATATATATATATATATATAGTTTTTCGTTTTACCTCAAAAAACCACAACAGTCTGTTTCATCCGTATAGGAATCATCAGGTGGAATCATCAGACCACCTGATGATTCCTATACGGATGAAACAGACTGTTGTGGTTTTTTGAGGTAAAACGAAAAACTATATTACGCTCTATCTATATGGTATTGAGCACTGTTTGTGTTTCGTAAACCAAAATCTTAAGCTATATATATATATATATATTTAACAATTATACCATGAGCTCGAGTCGTATATGAGCTGATACGACGAGAGCGAATGGTATAATTGTTTTATAATATAGTCTAATATAGCCATTATAACTGAAGCAGTAATTAATTATTCACAGTTACAATGTGTGGACAATTTTTTCGGCCAAACACCGCTTGAAAATTTGAAATACTTTTGTTTTACAACTCAAAGACGAAGTGAAAGAAATGGTTTTAGAACCCCTATATCTCACAGGAAAGTTCAGATATATTATAGAGATGTTTGGTACTATAGTAAGTGCTTGTTGACTGCAAATTCATTTGTCGTTCATTGCAAACTTTTCTGAACAATTTATATTCTCAATGAACATGTTTTTTCGCTGTTGTTTCGGTATTAATTCTTTAAAAAACTTGTCTTGCTAACCTGTCAAATTTTTTTGAGAGTTTTTCCTTGTAATATTATTATTCTCAAAGCGAATATTTTCCTTTTTCTGCTTCGCAAAACTCATGTAGTTTTTGGACCGCCATCTTGTTTTTTGCTACTCGCCGTATATGAGCTGATAGTTTAAGGAAACCAAATATTAAAATATAAAGAAGAAGAGAAACCAACGATAAAAGCCCCAGCCAGGAAAGGTTCTGAAACATCTTAACGTACTTATGAAAGAAGATTTCCTGCAACTGGAAAAAACTGATTATTTCAATTATTTGAATCCACAGGCGCGGATGTTTTTTTATCTTTTAAATAAATAAAAGAATTATTGAATTTGGTTTTCGCATGATATAAAGAATTATCAAGGCCTCGGTTTGTGTTATCAACCTCGTTCAATAATGTTAAATCGTAAGAGCATGGTTGTAAAAATAATTTGAATGCGTAGCTCTGAATTGCCAGGATAATTAATCCATTTACAGCAAGACACTTGACACTAATGTTTATCTTAACAGTCCCCAATTTTATTAAAATTGAAATATAATGATATAGGTTTGTGTATACGAAACGCAAAGAGTGCTCAATATCATAAAGATAGAGCAAATGTAGAATTTCGCTTACCTCAAAATTCCGCAACAGTTAAACAACGAATAAAATCAATCAATTCAAATCATTATATTTCAATTTTAATAAAATTGGGGACTGTTAAGATAAACATTAGTGTCAAGTGTCTTGCTGTAAATGGATTAATTATCCTGGCAATTCAGAGCTACGCATTCAAATTATTTTTATAACCATGCTCTTACGATTTAACATTATTGAACGAGGTTGATAACACAAACCGAGGCCTTGATAATTCTTTATATCATGTGAAAACCAAATTCAATAATTCCTTTATTTATTTAAAAGATAAAAAAACATCCGCGCCTGTGGATTCAAATCATTGAAATAATCAGTTTTTTCCAGTTGCAGGAAATCTTCTTTCATAAGTACGTTAAGATGTTTCAGAACCTTTCCTGGCTGGGGCTTTTATCGTTGGTTTCTCTTCTTCTTTATATTTTAATATTTGGTTTCCTTAAACTACAGGCAGCGCCATATTCTTCTGGTCATGTTTCTATTATTCGTATTTTTTTCATATCAACGTTATGATGTCACTCTTTTGAATGTTGCCACCCCCCCCCCCTCGCCCCCCTTGGCTACGCCACTGTCTGATGTATACATTTAGTAAAGCAGAGGAGTTAAACTAGTCAGATGGCGGGTTCAGACCCATCCAAGTTGGAAATTCTAAAAGATATACTAACTCAGTCATGCCTTGCATTGTCATGACTGCTTATGTGATAGCAATATTCTTTATTTAATATTTCAAATACACGCGATATCCCTGAAATAACAACGCCATAAACTTGCCTTAAAATATTGTCGTCAAATTCATTAATACTCTTCATAAATTCGGAACATACTTCCTTATCTGGAGGTAGCTTTAAACATTTCAATAAAGTTTCATACTGCTCGCATTTCAAATTAACATGATATTTGGTAAACACGTAAGTTATTATAACCGATGACAGCACCACATGAACTTTATCTTTCGCATCCTTTGTTTGACTTCCCAAAACTGTCAAGTTTGCCTCAAGTTTTGGCATTAAAATTTCCTTGAAAACCTAAAAGAAAAATAGTGTAATTTTGTATTGTCTAGTCAAATAACAATAACAGATAATCAGGGAAAAAATATCCGGTCGCCCTTGATTCTTGAAGCTTAACTTTCCTTTTTGCTATACATGAAGGTTTTAGATATCTCAACATATTGTAGTAAGCAGCAAACCAATAAAATACATGCAGGCATTTTAATTACATGATAACGAGTCTGTAATCATATCAAAAGCTTGTATAACCATTTATTTAATTTACATGTCATATTATTCACAGTAGCCCAGTTTGTTTTTATTTTTCGGTTTTTGTTATGTATTTTACTTAAATTGTCAGCTGGTTTCAGGTTTTACAATCTATGGCAATGCAATTTGTTTAAGGATGTCCGATTAAATTTGAACCTTACTGCACTGTAGCAATACTATTTGCCCAGCAAATTTGTACCATTTCTTATAACATGTCTTTACTAATTAGGCCTACCTCCGAAAGGCTAAGTTTGTCATAATCAACCTTAAAACGATGTTGATATCGAGTGTCATTAATTGTCCAGACTGCAGAAATGCCCTGAACCAAACAGTCGAGCTGTTCCAGTGCTTCCACTGGTTGAATTTGGGGATCAAAGGAATCAATGTGAAATGCGCTCCACTTCGGAAAAAATTCTCGAAAGAATGCTCTCCTGTCATCCAATGCAGATCCAGAAGAAAACCATCTGACCAATGACCATGTAGACGGTTCAGGATATATAAATCCATCATACTTGTGGAAGGTTTCTAAAATGACAGATATTAATATTCATTTAAAGATGCTGTAAAGTCCGTAATGTAAACAAACGCTTTGTTTACACTTTGAACTCAGGGCTATACAGTTGTAAAATATGATTAAATATATATGGCGGATGGTACTACAGATAAAAACCGAAAGGAAATCCAAGGCCTTGTTTGTCGGTATTTATCTAACGAAGGGAAAGTAGAGGAACATTGTTTAAACGTAAAGGGAATCGACGATCGCTCTGCTAAAGGTATTTTTAATTTTATTACAGAAACCTTAGCACAATTTGAAATTTCCGTTGACGGTCTTGTATCACAGTCTTTTGATGGTGCTAGTGTAATGTCTGGGAACTATAACGGATTACAAAGGCTTCTTAGTGATTTCTATGATCGATACATTTTATATGTTCACTGCTTTCTACACAAAATCCATCTTGTTGTGACATACGTTATGGAAAATCTTGATGAGATAAAGGAATATTATGGCACAATAACGGCGCTGTACAATTTTTTCAAAAAATCCGCTGTCCTTGAATCATATGATAGCACTGCACTGAAACGACTCATTGAAACGCGTTGGTCTGGTCATTACGATAGTACCAGTCACATAAACAAGAATTACGGGGATCTGATTCAAGCTCTTATAGTGGCGTCAAAAAACAAGAAGTTATCCGCGGAGGACAAAGCGCAGGCGATCGGACTTCTTAATCAAATGGACGATGACGAACACCATTCATTTATTTTCACTAATTGCATGTTAATGAAGGTGTTAAAACCAATTGATATTATGGTCAAACAACTGCAATCCGTCAATGAAAACTTCATTTCAGCACTTGAAGTAGTTAAAAGTGTTAAAAATGATATAAAATCGAACGCCACACTGTCACGAACGAGAAGACTAAGAAGATGGTTGATGAATTCTTGGAAGATGTAAAAGTTTCAACATCCAGTGGAGAACAACGTCGACCTAAGAGAAACACTGCGATTCCATCTCGTTTTGATGATTTTCTTGTTACTGAAAGTCTGCCAAGTGAGAACACCAAACGTCCAAACATTCAAATTTTCATAGAATGCTTGGATTTACTGAATGCTGAATTCAGTCGGCGTTTTTCCACTGAAAACATTGCACTGTGGGAAGCTATGTCAGCATTATCACCATCGTCTGATGTGTATCTTGAGTATGACATTCTCAAGCCTTTGTTTGAGTATGCTACTACGATTTCTGTGTTCAGAGACTTCTATTTGAAAGAAAAACTTGCAACGAAAGATCTGGAAGCTGATTCGTGTGTTTAAAGATAAGGAATGGCCAAAAAATGAAAACGAGACAATTGATTTAAGTGAAGTTGCCATAATTGTCATAAATAATCACCAGAAAAGAGCTCCAATACTATCTTGTTTGTACAAAGTTGCTGTAACGTCGGGGTTCACGTCTACACGAGTAGAATGCGCATTCTCTTCCCTAACTCGAGTTGATTCCCCTCAACGAAGATCAATGAAAACGCAGCGTGAGGCAGATCTGGATTATCTAAGCTTTGAAAGTAAGGTATTGCTAAATGACATTACCTTTGAAGATTTTCACAAAGCTTGGAAAATGAAACCACGAACACTATCACTGTGAGAGTCAGTAAGACGTTTGTATGAATATTTTGATTACTAACAGAAATTTAATATTCCATTAATACACTATTTAGTTTTGCATTATTTTGGTTTTGGTTAAGCTTACCCAGAACAGTAAAGCAAATCAAGTTTAATTATTTGATAGTACTTTAATATTACTGTAATAAACGCTTAATTTCCATTTTGAACGGCTGTGAAACATGATATACAGTACTACAGCGACCGTAGAAGATTAATACTTGAGGCTCATAGTCATACTCAATTTTTGTATGAAAATAGTTTGCTTGTGGCCTAAAATAAATAACCTCATTGTTAGAAGCTAGGCTAGATAGCAGACGGCTGAACTAACCCTATACAGAACTTTAAAGACTCGCAAAATTAAGCACAAGTATAATACTTTTACAGTGTAGAAGAACGTTCCGTTCGATCCCAATTTTTCTGAGCTGGAAAGGAAAACTAGCTGCCAGAGACGCCGGAATATCGATAATTGGGGGGGGGGGGGGAGATACTCATATATTCGTGTTCTGCCCAATTAATTTCTTTTGAAATCGATTGTTTTTACAGTCTGTGAACACGAATATATGAATATCTGCCCCCGCTATTATCGATATTCCGGCGCCTCTACTAGATGCTAGCACGAAAGTCAAAATCATCCCAACCCCTCTGTTGCATTCTTTCTGCGGTGCCCCCCCCCCCCCCCCCCCAGAAATTGAGAGCCAGCTAGGGGCTTGCAGAGGACGTAGAAAGAATGTTGTGAAATTACAGGCTTTTGGATTTATTGACTCGCAGGGGTACGAAGGAAGTTGTTTAACTTCATTAGTATTCTTGATATAAAACTTCACCTTCATTAGCATTCTTCATATAAAACTTCACCTTTATTAGTATTCTTTATATAAAACTTCACCTTTATTAGTATTCTTTATATAAAACTTCACTTTTATTAGTATTCTTTATATATATAAAGACTACCGAGGGTGAAATTTTATATAAAGAATACTATTAAATGAAGTGAAAACGCATCCACCCCCTCTCTCCGCTGAGACTAAAATCAAATAGCCCCCAGGCTTTTAATATTATTAGTGTTCTTTATATATATAAAGACTACCGAGGGTGAAATTTTATATAAAGAATACTATTAAATGAAGTGAAAACGCATCCACCCCCTCTCTCCCCTGAGACTAAAATCAAATAGCCCCCAGGCTTTTAATATCGACAATGATAGGTTGTAATGTTCATGAATTAATAAACTAGGGTACCTACAAGGTAGGGATTGCTGCGGGAATTAAGAGCAAATAGAACTAAATATAGTACAAATTATATAAAGCACATGCAGTTATTTATTACTCGCAGCGAGCCAGCGACTGCTGAGCAGTGCACTGTGGCCGAAGCTTAAGGATCACAGGTGACAGATATATTAACCATGTGCGTCTCATTGAATAAGCATAAACAATAATATGTATACTATTTAAAACACGAGTAGGAGTTTTTATCAGATATAAAACGCGAGGCGCAGCGGAGCGTTTTATATCTGATAAAACACGACAACGAGTGTTTTGAATAGCTTAAAATACGACTACAAAAGAATACTAATTAGGATGAACAATTATACAGGGTGTATAAAAAAAACCGCAACCTCGGAATTTCCTAAAAAATCACTTTGCAATTCTTAAGCATAAAAGATTTTAGGCCCCTGGGAATTGAAATCGAATTGCTAATAGATCATATTACTGTTGTTGTGCATTAAATAAATGCATAAATTTTGCTTTATGCACTCGCGTGTGCAGTAATTTTGACAGTTATGCTATTTTAAATTCCCAGGCGCCTAAAATCTTTTGTCTTTAAAACAATGTCGATGTCTTGTGAAATTCCGAGGTTGCGCTTTTTTTGATACACCCTGTATAATCATACCATTAGAATGAACAATTATATAAAGAATACTAATGAAGATGAGTTTTATCAGATATGAAGTCATTCCATGTGATATATTATGGCTGACATAATTTGCCACAAAGTTTATGAATTTTTAATGAGTATTTTAAATATATTTTCAAGACCAAGTGGATATAAATACAAACGACAAAGCATTGTTAAGACGTACAGGTAAATTACATAACACAAGTTTTTGCTATCGAATTCCATATTAAGTCTAATACTGCTAGGCGCAATACCACATTGTATACACAGTATTAAACTGTAGTGAGTCAAAGCACATGGAATCGGGTAGATAAAGCAAGTGGAATCGGGTGGATGTGTACTGCGCACAAGAACTGAGCACGACCACAATGCAACGCACTAGAAGAATTTACTGAACAGACGCCTCTCTGCACAAATTAGATCGCTGCTTTGCTCGCTCGCTCCGCAGCAATGAGTTTTTGAAATGTCATTTAGTGCACCAATTCGTTAAGCAAATTATCTAAGACAATTAAAAAACCAACTATGACAATGTTGTGGGAGAAGAGATGTTGAGGAGAAATGCTCCAATTAAACTTTAAACTGTGGCCAAAGTGTCGCCCCAGAGACTAGCTATTACAGATTATGATTATGATTATGATATAATTATATGTCCTTAGAGGGGCGTGGTTCCCACATGTTGGACTTTACCCAAGGGGTAGTAGCTCCGCGAGATGGGCATCCTAGATGTCCAAGGGGTTTTTGCTCCCCGTGATGGCCATTGTTTATTATTTTATTTTTATTATTTTTGTTTTTTAATACACTGTGTAATACACCGATTTGTGCAAGTCCCCACAAAAACACAGCATGGGCATTCCCCATAGACGAAGAACCACCCACAGCTATTTAACAATTAGTCGCCGAAGGCGAGGTGATTACAAGCCTATATTCACTGAGCCGAAGGCGAAGTGAATATAGGCTTGTAATCACCGAGCCTGAGGCGACTAATTGTTTTAGTATAAATTTCCAGGTGTTTACAAACAATAATCCACACAACTTTATAAAAATTCACTTCAAACAAATTTGTTTTCAATATAAATAGTTTGTTTACAAAATTTACATCTCAGATACGGCTCTGCCTCGGTGTCGCGTTGCGACTAAGCCAGTTTTTTTCCAAATAAAAGCACGTAAAGTTTAATATTTTACCTTGAAATATTTTTAAACCATATTTTGTAGCTTGTTTGGGTTTTTTCGGAATGCTATCTTCTTTAATTTTGGCAATTTCCCCCTCTGTTACTAAGGCAAAACGAGCAGCCATTTTGAAAAAAAGAGACAGTGAATCTTGACCAATCAGAATGCAGAAAAATCAATAGTCACCTGGAAATTTATACTAAAATCGTATAGAAGACAGCTTCTGCCAACAGAATGCAATGCAATGCGATGCGATGCGATGCGATGCGATGCAAAGGAATCCAATACCGGGTGTCCCCAAAAAAGTACTCCGATTCGATTTTTAATAACTTCTAAACAAGTAAAGCTATCAAACAGAAATAACTTGCATTAAATAGAGGAAGGACTAACTTAGATTTTGGTATATTACAGTTGTATTTTACTTAAAAATTCACGGAGATTTTAATGTTCAAAATCGGGAGCATATTTTGGGATGTGTCTAAAATTAGCGAAAATCGGCATATCAAATATTAACTTCAGCGTTTGTTTGCTTGATGACATATCAGGCTAACTTGTATTTCAGCGAATTGTCGTTAGGGTTTGTAAGGGATATGGCGTAGATTTAGACATCTTACATGTAAATCTTAGCTCATTGTTTCCTGAAATCTGAACGTACGAAATTATGCAAGTATTTAATAGGTCTTTACAAACTTATAAGGTACATGAAAGACCATGCAAGGCAGGCGCTTAAATTTTTCTTAAATAGCCTAATTTTTTTATGGTTTTCATGGGTTCAAAACGGAGTTGATTATTTCTCGGTTAGAGCAGGATGAATATTATTCTGCATTGAAGGAAATAATATTGCTTTTTGCACATGCACAACACAGTATCAACGCTGCCATTTTGTTACGTTTTGTTCCAAAAATGTTGAATGTCTCTGGGGAGTTGCATGCTTGTTATATGTCTTATGGAGTTGTATGGTTTGATTGTGTTTCATTCTCAGTTTATTCTGAACTTAAAAATTAAGGAAAGGCAAAAGAGTTTGAGTGTTCTTAACAAGATTTCAGAACGTTGCAGAAGATAGAAGAGCTTCACAATTCCATTGTGACATCAGCATGCCCAAATTCAGAACTACGAACGATTCATGACGATCCTTCGCGATGCAGTGGTCTCATAAAATAAGGAAACGTATTCGTGCTAGAAACACGCACGGATTTCGGACGAATAAATCTTGCTTGTATTTTGTAGACAATAATGCTTTGTTTCATAATAAACAATTTGTCAAGTGTCATTTATTTACTGGTAATCGTGCATGTTTCAGTCGGGCAAATCTTGATTAATATTTGATAGCCGTTTTTTGCATATTTCAGACACATCCAGAAATATGCTCCCGATCTTAAACATTAATATCTACGTAAATTTTTAAGTGAAATAGAATTGTTGTATATCAAAATCTAAGTTTGTTCTTCCTCTACTTGATGCAAGTTATTTCTCTTTAAAAGCTTTTAATTACTTGTTTAGAAGTTATTACGAATCAAACCGGAGTACTTTTTTTGGGACACTCGGTACAATGCAATGCAAATATATATATATATATATATATTATATATTATATATATATATATATATATATATATATATATATATATATATATTATATATATATATATATATATATATATATATATATATATATATATATATATATATATATATATATATATATATATATATATATATATATATAGAAAGACACAAAAACTTAGCAAGCTTTGTTTGGCATATTTATTACTATACAGTTTCGTACCACGTAAATAACGTGGCACTCTTCAGATAAAATAGCCTATGTTTGACCTATAGCTTCTTAACGAACTTTTTAAATATGTACAGATGGTATAAAGGACGCTTATCTAATTACAAATCAATTAACACCTCAGGTAGTGTCACGAAAATATTAGTATCAAGTTATAAAGTTTTTAAGTAGAAATTTATTAGCGTGTCTACACGTGGAGACAAGTTCGTTGCGACGATTAAGTGTTGCAATGTCCGGTTTACAAATAATGAAATACTTCTCCCAAATACACAAGTTACATCTCTTGGATGCATTACTGTAAGATTTAGCGCGTTTTAAAATTTTCCATCTGATAGAGTAACTAATATTATTGTTCTTAAGATTCCAGATGTATTTACTTAATTCAGTAGAATTACGCTTCTCATAGTTATTAAATGAAGCTTTGTGATTGGTGTATCGAGTTTTGAATTCATTTTCTGTTAGTCCAACATATGTTTCAGCTTTGAGTGGGCCGCTTGTCAGATGTTTTTACTGTGGCTTGGTAAATAACAGATTTTGCTAGACAATTTTTTGACATAGGGCATTCACTTGGTTTTTGGCAATTGCATTTTTTTTCGTCGGTGGTTTTAGCTCGGTGGGATAGCTTGGATTTATTATGACCGTCGATGTTTTGTTTAAAATTACTCATGCAGCTGTAGCTAATCTTGACGGTATTTCTGTTGAATATCTTGTGTAAGATATGGCCTGCGGGAAATTCCTCGTCTAGAATCTTTAAAAAGGTCTGACCAATATTAGTAGCGACATTTTTGCTGAACGGTGGGTTGTACCAGGTTATATTTCGTTTCCGACTCCTTGAGTTGATGGTATTCTGGGATGTCGGAGGTTGTTGGTATTTCAATTTATGTCGATAACCGCTCTTTGTTAGGGCTTCTTGATATAATGGCACTGCACGCTGAAACGAGTCTTCATCAGATGAAATTTCAGAAAGGCGCTTGTTGATCGCTGCTGGTATGTTGTCTAGTATTTTGGGTGGATGGTTTGATTTGTTGTGGACGTAAAGTGGAATATTGTTGGGTTTAGTGAACGGCTGATACTTTTGGGTAGATAGATTCAGGGTGACGTCTAAAAAATCTACTATTATCTTGTTGGCTTCGATAGTGGTAATTTTTAAGTATATATATATATATATATATATATATATATATATATATATATATATATATATATATATATATATATATATATATATATATATATATATATATAATTTATACAGAATGCGGACATATATATAGATTATTTATACAGAATGCGGATTAAAATCTGTGATTAAAAGTTTTGTTTTCTAATATAATCCCTATGTTACTGAATGAATTATAGTCACATATGTTCCTAATATCAGCTGGTAGTTTATTAAATGTAATGGCTGCTGAATATTTAAAGGTCCCTGTTTTTCTCGGTACTTCAATAACTGGAGCACAGGAAGATCGTAGATTATAAGCGTTCACAGTACGTAAGGAAAGAAAGAAATATTCTGGAAAAGTTTCATTATATAATGCCTTATGGGTGAGTTTTAATAAGTTAAATTCTATTCTACCGGCGATCGGAAGCCAATTTAAGCACTCTAAATCCTCTATATTTGCGAATTTCCCTAGTACGAAGCCAGCACAAGCATTTTGCAGGCGCTGCAACCGTTTCAGCTGGTACTGTGGTAGTGGATGAAACACAGTGCAGGCGTGATCGATTTTGGCAAACACTAGACTTTCTGCAAGTGTTTTCCTCACGTGAAAAGGAGCCAAGTTCTTAAGTCATCGTGGCACGTACTTTCAGTATCCCATAGCAACTGGTTAACTTGATCACCCCACGCGAGATGTTGGTCAATATACACACCAAGCAACTTGGTACAAGAGATTCTCTCTAGTGGGGTGTCATCACACATAATCGGCAGTAGTCGTTCATCCAGTTTATGTATACCTGACATCTGAAGGGTAGAAATAAGCATCCATTTTGTCTTTGATAAATTTAGTGCAAGATTGCATCCCTCAGAGTATTTACGTAGTCTGGAAATGACACCATTCATCTCGTTTGCGCACAAGTGTACATCTGATGGTTTACAGTGGATGAGAAAAGTTGTGTCATCAGCGTATTGAAAACAGGGACAGTGGAGTTTATCCTGCAGATCAGCCACGTAAAGATTGAACATTACTGGTCCCAGAATGGACCCCTGTGGAACACCGAACAGAACTGTGACTAGACTAGACTAGACTGTTTGTCATCAATTTGGACAAATTGTTTCCTGTTAGGTAGATAGTTCGTCATCCAGAGAAGAAAGTCCTTCGAAAAACCAAGTTGTGCATCTTCATTAAAACAGTTTTAAACTCAACAGTATCAAAGGCCTTGGAATAGTCTGCGCACACCATCAGGGTCACTTCGCCTTTCTTTGATGCTCGAATTAGGGCATTGCGGATGCCAAGCAAGACAGTTATCGTTGAATGTCCCTTTCGAAATCCTGATATTGTCAAACATAAAAGAGCCTGATCATCAATGTACTTAACAAGCTGATTTAGGGCCAGGCGTTCAAATAATATTGCAGGTAGAACTGAGATTGGTTGAAAGTCCGAGTCACAAGATGGTTGGTTTACTTTTGGGATTGGAGACACACGAGCAGTCTTCCGGGTCTCTGAGTTTCTGATACAAGTGTTAATTATATGCGTTAGAGGCTCTGCCATGTCTTGTTTCGCTAATTTCAGAAACTTTGCTGAAATCTGGCCTACACCAGTTGAAGTGTCATTACGGAGCCCATCTATTTCTCGCTCAACTTCCCTTACCGTAACTTGTTGTAAATTGAAAGTATGCCCTTGAGGTGTGTTCCAGTTACTAATAGTGGAGCTGAATATAATATCGGTTACAGCGACACATTGCGGGTAGTTTGTGATGATGTGGACTATCAGTGTTCTCGATGTGGGGGGTGACACGGGTCGGCTTAGTGATGTGTTGATGCATGCCAAGAACGTCTAGTACTGATTTATATTGCTTTGTCATGCTGTGAGATGAATTTACCATATCGATGTTTACATCGCCAGTAACATACAATAAACCATCCCAGTCAAGAGACACTTGACCCAGTAAACTCTCAAAGCGGTCCAGCCAATCATTACAACTCAGCATTCGTTCTGATCTAATCTATGAATCACCCCAATTAGGGCCTTACTATAACTGTTCCGCCCAGGAACTTCGAACCACATATGTTCAAAGTCAGCTTGTAGATTTTCGATATCTTTCCTGCGCTTTAAATTGATGGAATTACTAATATATGCACCCACTCCGCCGCCGCGAATCGTGTCACGACTGTTGAAAACAGCGGTATATCCAGAAAGCGCGACATAATCTAATAGCGCGGGATTTTCCTTAAGCCAGGTTTCGCTCATAGTGATAATATCCATAGGATAATCACTAACAAGAGTTTGAAATTCATTGAATGAGGAAACCATACTTTGCGTGTTTAGGTGCATAATACTGAGATGTTTGGGGTGGTTCCGCAAAGCTTCAGCAATAAAACCTAACGTTTCTAATTCGGAATCTAGAGTTGAGTTTATCTGTTC